AAACATGACAAATAAGATTTGTTTATAATTATTATATAGTAATAGATCTAATTAGTCATTATATAGTAATAAATTCAATTAGTAATTAAGTTTATGTTTTGCTTTGTCATTAAGGGTAGTAAATCTAATTAATACACGGTTCATAATTATATAATAATAATTTTATTTAGTCATTAATTAAGGGTAATAATTAATTATTAGTCAAAATCATAAAATCTTGATAAATAAGTATACCTACATAAAATTATGAAAAATATGATAAATCAGCAAATTTACTTTTTTAAATATAATTAATTTATTGTTACTTATATATTAATTCAGTTTTAGTTTATGGTTTATTAATATCAACTATTTTTAGATAATAATAGTCATCAAATGAGTGAAATTTGTTTCTAATTTATTGTTGATTATATATTAATTAAATATATTTTTCTTATAACAACACAATATATTAGGAATTATCTTTTTATTTTATTTTAAATATACATCTAGATTATGGATAATTCTTATCATTATTATTAATTTAAATCATTTATCTAATCAGAAAATATAAATTCGTTTTTTTTTATTTTAGGCTGATTTATATATTTTATTCATTAAGGGTATAAACGATATTAACCACACCAACTTTTAAGACAATGTTCATTGACCTAAACAACTTAATTTCCATGGTCAGTCAATAACCTAAGTCGATTTTAGGGGGAGAAAAACGGAACTTAGGGTTTTAAGTGTCTCCGCCATGAAACCACGTCGGCAGAACGTGACAATTTCTCGGCGCGTTACACGGTCGGCGACCATACTTCAACGAAACTCATTGTCTCTTCCTGATGAACTCGTTTTCGAGATATTCTCCAGGTTGACGTTGAAGTCTATTGCGAGATGTCGTTGCGTATGCAAGCTCTGGTCTTCTATGCTTCGCCGTCAAGATTTCACAGAGCTGTTCTTGACCAAATCTTGTGCTAACCCTAAGCTTCTTTTCGCATGTGAAGATTACAGCCACGAGATTCACTTCTTCTCGTCGCCTCAGCCCAAAAATCCGGAAGATAACTCTTACGTTGTAGCCTCCGATCATCTCGCGCGTTTCCCTGGACAAAAAAAATTTTGTGCGATTGCCTTTTCGTGTTACGGATTTAACCTGATCTTGAATCGTGAGTGTAAGAGAGTGATATGTAACCCCAGCACTGGACAGTTTTTAAACTTACCAGGATTGAAGCCTAGGTATAGGTATATAGTAGAAAGCTATCTTGGATATGACCCCATTGCAAAAGAGTTCAAGGTGTTGTCAATGGAAACCTCTTATGTGAGTGGTGAGTGGATCTCTGTGAACCACCAAGTTCTGACATTAGGAACCAATAAATTGTCATGGAGGTTGGTGGATTGTTGCGTACCACATCGTTCTTCAAGTAAGTGGATTTGCATCAGTGGTGTTCTCTACTACACAGCTGTAGCCAGCAGTTCGCATTTCATTTCCATGGTAGTTTGTTTTGATTTAAGGTCTGAGAAGCTCAGCTTTGTCAATTTCATGGAAACTTTCAGTACAGCAATGGAGCAATCAGCGAGAATGGTAAACTACAACGGCAAGTTAGGTTTGCTTATGTCGAGGGATTATGGCCTTGTCACAAGTGTAATAAGTACAAGTTTTGAGCTGTGGGTTCTACAAGACGCTGAATGGTCCAAGCATGTATATGTGTTACCACTTTTGTGGAAGGATGTGGTTACAGAGACCATGTGCACTGCTGGAATGATTGGTACAAATGAAATCGTCTTGTCCCCGCTCCTCCCAAAAGGGCCTTCCTATGTCATCTACTACAATGTCGAGAGCAAGACGATCAGAAAAGTTTGGATCCAAGGGATGGAAGCGTTTCAGGGTAAAAGATTCTACACCTTTCTCAACTATGTTGAGAATGTGAAGCTTCTTTAAGCATTTTAAGAGAGACAAGTGTAGTTTTCATTTTGTGTGTTGCTTCTTTTTTTCTATTGTCTTAGTTTAAAGCTTCTGTTAGCAGAAAATCTTCTTATTATAAACTCTTTAAGATTATCCAAAACAGAGAAGTTTAAAATGTGATCTTTTCAATGCTGTGAGAGGTAGAGGAGTTATTAGTTCATGAACAGAATCACTACAAAAAAATGATTATATTACATCACATAAATAGTATCAGAAAAATAAATGATATTAATTTAAATTACTTATTATTAAATGATACAAAATATGTGTGTTTAACATCATTTATAATAATTGATGTGTTCTTAATTTATTTAACATCACTTCATAACAAATGATCTAAATTTGTGTTACTTCACATCACTTTTGAATAACTGATCCCAAATATGAGTTTACATCAGTTAAATAATTGATGCATTTGCAAATTTTCATTAGTATTACTTATGGAAAATGATACAAAGTTAACATCATTTAAATAAAAGAGTCAAATTTTACATCACTTGTAAAATGATACTATTTAAATATATCCAATTTCGTGCTTTAATATTTTAGAAAAGAAATTTCATGCATTAAAAATAAATATATTTTTAATTCCATAAATATAGGATATTTTGTTTGTTTTTCTTATCTCCAAATTTAACTAGTTAATTTTTTTATCAGTCACCCACAATCCTCTTTTCACGCCACTATCTTCTTCTTCTTTTTGACTGATACTATATATATTTTTCTTCCCTTCCAAAAACCTTTAAAAAACTTCTCAACGAAGTTATAATTTTTTTATTCAAATCGGCTGTCTGGTATCTCCAACTTGTTTTCTAGAGCCATTTTCTCTCATAGTATATCATGTTCTGTTTTTGATTTCTTCACATATATCCTTTTTGTGTTATTTTTGAAACTTTTCAAATTCATAATCGTTTTTATGTGTTCAGAAAAATGTGAAGATAAGATGAATTTCAAGATCATAGAGAGACACAAATAATAACAAGTGGGAAGAGTGTGATTTTTACATGGCAAGGAAAAGAAATTGAAGGTACTTCAAAAACCTTATGCTACCTATATTTTTTTCATGGTTATTCTTAACTCCACAAGAATTTTCAGGAGTTTATATGATATTTAATATTTTTTATTTAAAAATTTGTAGGATGAAATACCTTATTCCACGAGGGGAAGAGTATACACAAGAATTGAAGTCTTGAAGATGTATTGAAAAAGTATGGAACAAAAGCAAGAAGATGATTGAAGTCTATATTTGATTTATTGTTTTGTTTTTATTTCTTAGCTGGTAGTTCGTTTTTGTTTGGATTTATTAATAATCTTCTCAATAATAATTTACATTTTTTTTTCTGTTATCAAGATCTTCTTAGATATTTGAAAAATTGCTATAAAAAGTAATTAATGTTAATCTTATTTGTATTTATTAATAAAATCTTCTCAATAATAAATTTGTTATTAATCAAATAGTTTACTATATTAACGAAATTATTAAAATATTTGATATTATTGTTAACATCAATTAATTATAACTGAAATAAATATTTAACATCAATTGTAATAGATGATATAAATGGTAACATCATTTTAAACAATTGACACATACTAACGTCACTTAAAATAATTGATGGAAATATTTGCTATTTTTACATCAGTTTTGAACAAAATGATACAAATTATTTGCATCATCAAAAAGTAAGTCACTTATTTAAGTGATGTAAAATGTTTTTACATCATTTATAATTAATACAAATATATAAAATAAATGATTTAAACTAACCTTTTTTTTGTAGTGAATGTTGCTATTTTGCTTAAAATATCCCCGCCAGAGAATGATGTTTGTCCAAGCCCTTACTATAGATGATATGATAAATAACAAGTTGTAGATCTAATTGTGATTGTATCTAGTAGAATATTAGTTACATAGTCCAGCTTTGCTAAAGTTATTGGTACAAACGAAATCGTCTTGTAGCCCACTTCCTACAATTTTTTTTGAACACACACTTCCTACATTATCTACTCAAATATCCAAGAAGAGAAGGGGGAGTCTGAGTGGAATAGTTTCTTCACCTAATGTAAATAATAATATTGGACTTCTTAGAACTTCTCACTGTAAGGATCGGATCATAGGACCTTAACTTTGTCCCTTATCTTTTATACAGGTAGGCATGTAAGTAGTAACACCATGAACTTGTCTGATGAAGAGGAATATGCAAATTTGGAGACAGATGATGATTATGATAATTAGGTCTCAGTCAAATGATGATCAATATGAGTGGGCTGAGTTTCACTTGTCAAATAAAGGTGTGGTCGTTTAAGTAATCACAAAGGAAAAAAGAGATATTTTTACGTCTACACTAGGTGGTTTGCCCGCACTTGCGGGCTTAATAATTTTACTAATATCTATAAATAAATATATAATCAATTTATGTAAATTATAATAAATTATAGTTCATAGACTCAAAATATTTAATAATAAACTAAACAAATTCTTTCTATATATAAAAATTTTCATCATCATATAAATAATTTTCCTTACACAACTTATATTTGAAAATACTCAT